TTTTAGAGAAGTAGAATTTAAAAAGAGGGATGTGCAAAAAACTAACATAGCAGGCTTGATCACAAAGCTTTCCTTAGAAAGGCCATCCTGCAAGTTTGGCCCTTGACTGGAGTCTGGGACCTTGAATTTCGGAAGAGTTTTCACCATTTCCTGATGAGAGTGCCTCACTGTGCCTTAACTGTTTTTGCAGACAGCGTGGTCTATGCTGATCACCTACTTTCTCAGAGCTGGAATTTTGGTACATGGTGGGGAGACAGTGTCTATGGGACCAGTCTGGCATACAAATCATGGGTGCTGAGTCTCTAATGAGCTTCCCTGGTGGACAACATTTCACACGTGTTGTTACAATTCATTGCTGGGGAAATTAAGTGCATCCTGTGTGACTTCGCCTGGAGAGGATTCTTGGATTCCCGGTTCCCCCTGGACTTTGCCTTAGGCACCTTTTCCTTTGCCTGATTTTGCTTTGCATTCTTTCACTGTAGTAAATCATAGCTCTTAGTATTATTCTGTGTTGAGTCCTGTGTATCCTCCTTGAATCACTGAACCTGGCAGCCGTCTTGTGGACTCAACATACACTTTTCTCATTATTTGCCTTTCTAATGGGCTTATTGGCAGGATTTAGGAATGCAAAGTTAGTCATGTTGTTTAATTACAAATCAATTGTAAGTAAATCTACAACCCTGAAGTTTTGTAATATAATACAATTTATATTTTATAAATCACATTAACTGCCGAAAAGTTAGACAAATGGTGAATTTATGAACTCTGAAAACTGTACATACAGAAATATTTTCAGCAATAGATTTCATGTGTTATATGGTAGTTCTTTGGTCATTGTTTCCATTTTAAAATGGTATTTAAATAAATTCTGTACCCTTATTGCCTTTGTCTAAGTTAAAAAGATTGGTTTTCTTTTTTTTTTTTTTAAGCAGGGTTAGAGTAATACAGAGTCAATTTCTCTGTCCAGCTTTTGGCAAAGATGTTTCCCTCCCATTATTGAGGGAAAAAAAAGCATCTATTATATTTTTGGTGTCTGAAATATTGATAAACTATTTTCCCATGTTGTATATAAGATTTCTATGCAGGTTCACACAGCATGAATTCTAGCCAGACGTTGTTGGTGAGTTTCAAAGCACATAGAGTTTGTCTTCTTCCACAAGGGTAAATAATTTAGAATTGCTTGAATGTTTCAGGTCAGTGATCAGATACTATTGGATACTTAAGGATGCTGGTAGATACAACCCTTAGTTCAAAAATATATATAATTCTAATGGAAATAGGTGCTAACAGAAGGAAATTTCTTTTCTATTGGGAAGGAAGACTCCAACTCCAGAATACTTAAATTTATACTTATAAATACTTATGAAATATATGGCAACTCCAGAAGCATGGTTAGTCCTTCTTGTAGTTGCTTGATAATTATTCTAGATGGGAATCAGTCTGATTTAAGATTGCCCAGTGGTTGATCTTTTATTAAAGTCAATGTAGATATCAGTTTTAAAAAACAGCATCTAATTTGAAATTTAGATTACTTGTTTAGTAAGGGCAAAAAGAAAAAACAAAAACACACATAGCAAAAAGAAAACACAGAAAACACCCACAACCAACCAAATAAAAAATCACACACACAACACATTAATACTTACATTAATACCATTAATTAAAATAACCTATACCTGTGCTCTCTAAAGGTTGTGAGCTAACTTAAAAACCAACTTGGTTGTTCACAGTTACTGGTTTCTTTTTGATATTGTAGATATTGGGTAATTATATGTAGATGAAGGCTGTAAGCCTTCTACCCCACCCGCTGTGTACCAGGTAGTGGGTTAATTCAAACTGAATTCTGCCACTCATTTAGATACTTTCTAGCAAGCAGGCACAAAAACAGTCATGTAAACTCTTCTCTAGCTCTATGAAATTCCAATTCTGTCTTTTTGGTATTCTGTCAGTACCTTGTTTCAGTGGTTCACTTGAGGCATATGCAACATTATCATAGCGACAGTTCACTTTTAGTTGGAGTCAGGGAACAAACCCTGAGATAATGGGTAGAACAGGGGATGCTTTCAGAATCCTAAGCCTTAAAACACCATCCCTTAGGGTATGGTCTGTTGGATTTATAGGATTATTATACCCTGTTCACGTGAGGGAGGAGGCAACTGGGCAGTATTTCTGGACAGCCCACAAACTTCCATACCACAGTGAAAAATTATGTCTTACACATCTGTTGTTGACAGAAGATAAAGGCAGCTAGCTGAGATGCTTTTAGGAAAGGCTGCTAGATTGTGGTTTCTTGATTAGTCTCATGCCAACTGTTATGGCCTGAATGTTTGTGTCCTTCAAAATTCACATGTTGAAACCTAATCACTACTGTGGAGATATTAAGAAGGGCCCTTTTACTAAGTGATTAGGTTATGAGGGCAGAACGTTTGCAAATGGGATTAATGCCCTTAAATTAATAGAAAAGACTTAAAGGAACTGTTTGCCCCTCCTCCACAGAAGGTGCCATCTATGGAGACTGCGCCCTCACTAGACACCAAATCTGCTGGCACCTTGATCTTGGACTTGACATCTTCCAGAACTCTGAGCAATAAAATTCTGTTTACAGACTGCCCATTCTGAGGTATTCTGTTATAACCCAAATGAACAAAGATGCCAACTAAGCACCCTTCTAGAGTCGATGTCTGATTAGGGCGCTAACATGTTAACTAGTCACTCCTAGGATGGACTTAGTTAAACCTAATTGTCAGAACAGCCAAAGTAAGGACTCATATCTAAACATATGGGTAACTGGTTAGATACCAACTCAGAGACCAGGCTATCAGTCGAACTTCCAACTTAGATCTTTGACCATGAATTCAAGTGAGCTCTTGTCAGCTACATAGCCAATCACTGCCTAACTGTTTCTTCCTGTAAATAATGTTTTACATTTAATAACTATCTGGCTATTTCACAGACAGTTCTGGAGCTTTGTGATTCAAAGGGAAAAAAATAAAGCCAACCTGGTTTTCCCATAGGAAGATGGCAGACATTTGTAGAGCATCTACTGTCCGCTGAGCCCTACAGGTGGTACAAAATGAATTAAGACATAATTCTTGCCTTCAGGGAGCTTAGATCTATTAAGGAAGGTAGAGGCACAACATAAATTGCTGTAATTCAAGACAAATTAAGTTAACTGCTACAAGAGGGAGAGAAAGGGCTGAACACCTGTTATCCTTCAGTTTTGGAGTTGCTTCCCTCTGAAAATCATTAACAGATTATCATTCTTTGGAAGCTAGCTCAAACCTGTCACAGATACATTACACCACCAAAGGACAGCATTCAGTTACTAGGCAACCTAATTTGAGGTAAAGTATTTCTCTTTTCCAGGGCTTTGGGGCCTTAGTCAAAGGAGTCATCTAGAAGTGAAGGAATCTCTTTTGGGTACTGGTTTTTCGGGCTCTGATTTTAGGTTCTCTAAAGTTCTGGGTGATGGCTTGTTTTCTTAACTCGGGAAACTGGACGTTACCTAAAATTACAGCTATGAGAAGGGCGGTTAGGTTTATAGCACAAACACTTATGCCTTTCTTTTGTTAAATAATTTAGTGACCTGCTGTTATTTTCCTTGCCTTTAGAAATAAGCTCTCAAGCCTGTAAGGGCTATTGACAGAAACATCTAAGGACTGGCTGATAAAGGAAATTGAATTACTGCATTAGTACTGCATTGATTAGTACTTCTTAACACGAATTGGAATTGTACATACATTTATTAGTCATGCTGTAGCTCATTCTCAAATCTTTTTGAAATTTATTGAACTTCTAATTTTGTTTTGGATAGATACAGGGACAATAAGGAGAGTGTGAATGCTTTAACTGAGTTTAAGGAAGTAACAGTGTTTTATACCCACTAAATGTGGCCATGGTAGTGTGTGTTTTTTTTCTTTTCTTTTGGAGACGGAGTCTCACTCTGTCACCCGGGCTGGAGTGCAGTGGCACAATCTCAGCTCACTGAAACCTCTGCCTCCCGGGTTCAAGCGATTCTCCTGCCTCAGCCTCCCGAGTAGCTGGGACTACAGGCGTGTACCACTACGCCCCGCTAATTTTTGTATTTTTCATAGAGACGGGGTTTCATCATGTTGATTGGCCAGGATGGTCTCAATCTCTTGACCTCGTGATCCACCTGCCTCGGCCTCCCAAAGTGCTGGGATTACAGACGTGAGCCACTGCTCCGAGCCGCATGTGTGTTGTTAATTACAGAGAAAAATAACACTTGTTGCATATGTTAGAATCTTTTTTTTTTTTGCCGAGATGTAGACTCGCTCTGTCTCCCAGGTTGGAGTGCAGTGGCGTGATCTCAGCTCACTGCAATCTCCACCTCCCGTGTTCAAGCGATTCTTGTGCCTTAGCCTCCTGAGCAGCTGGGACTACAGGTGCATACCACCATGCCTGGCTAATTTTTATATTTTTTAGTAAGAATGAGGTTTTGCCATGTTGGCCAGGCTGGTTTCAAACGCCTCACCTCAGGTGATCGGCCTGCGTCGGCCTCCCAAAGTGCTGGAATTACAGGTGTGAGCCACTGCGCCTGCCTTAGAATCTTGATTAAAAGTATTTATCAAGATGATCTCATGCTAAAGAATAAGGAGGACAGTTTTAAGTATCTTGACATATTTTTCTAGCTGATCACAGCTTTTCATGAAGATATGACCACTGTGCTTGGCTAATCAAGACCGTGTTTGGTTCTATTCCTAGAGCAAAACCAAAACAAAATGTTGTTACCATTACTTCCCTTTCCCGTTCTTGTTTTTCGTGTTAGAGTAACTATCCTTGTCTTGCATCAATCTACTTAACAGCACCAGTGTTAATGGAATACAACAGCCTGATGAATTTTCATTTTGCTCCTTTTGTTTGATTTCCTATCAGAATGCTAATGTTTGCCGTAATGTAGCCGGAATGTTTCTAGTTCCTGAATTAATTTTTTATTTATGCATTTACATCTAGTCTAATTGTATTTGATTCTTTTACAGGAATTTTAAACAGCTATCAAGTAAAATGGAATTTATGACAATTAATGGAACAACATTAAGGAATCTGGAAATCCTACAGAATCAGGTCAGGCAACCATAAGGGCTAGTTTATTATAAATGGTTTTGGAAAAACTTCTGAGTAAGACAACGGTCTGTTTTTAGAGATGCAGGTGAAAATGTAGTGTCTTTAGCTGACTGCACTATTAGTTGGTAACTGTAGCACTCTCTGGAGAATGAACTGTACATAATACTTCTTTGGGGTTTTTTTGGGGAATGATGGAGCTGTCCTTTTTAATGACTGAGGGGCATGCTTATCCTGACAATTTCTGTAACGTCATCTCTATATCAGGTAGTTTTTTGGAAAGGCATTGTCACTGAAAATTAATATGAAGTGGATTTTTTTTTTTTTTGTCTACTTGGTTATATTTTTTCTATATACTTTTAACTTTTTGTTGAAAAGTTTGCAGTCTTTTTTATTCAGGTTATAAAACAGGTTTCTGGGATATTCATTTTGACTGTAAGATTTATAACATTTCAGTTCACAAACTTTGTTTTTCTTCTTCTTGGAGACGGAATCTCGCTCTGTTGGCCAGGCTGGATTAAGTGAAGGGACACCATATTGGCTCACTGCAACCTCTGCCTCCCAGGTTCAAGTGATTCTTCTGCCTCAGCCTCCCGAGTAGCTGGGATCACAGGCACCCACCACTACGCCTGGCTAATTTTTGTATTTTTAGTAGAGACAGGGTTTCACTATGTTGGCCAGGCTGGTCTTGAACTCTTGACCTCAGGTGATCCACCTGCCTCGGCCTCCCAAAGTCCTAGGATTACAGGCGTGAGCCAACACACCCGGCCTCAGTTCACAAACTTTCATTATTTATTTGTCCTTTGTTGATGAATTAGGAAGATAACAGGGAGATTAAAGTTACTGTTTTCATTTATTAAACTATCACTTGGGAAGATGAGATATTATATTATAAAATTAATGTTATCCTAACAAAATCATAAAGATAAAAAGCAACCCCACATCATTTGATTAAGTAGTGGAGAATCATCTGAACCATCTGAGTCAAAGGAGTTAAAATTCTCCAGAAATATTTATTACTATTGCAAATTAAAGTAAACACTGAATTTATTCCCCTTACTCATTAATCTGCATATTATTAACTAGTGTCTCTCAATTTCTTCCTGTTCCAGTCTGTTCTAGTATTCTGAGTTCAGATGTATTTTTGTTCAGTAACATTTTTATCTTGTCATCATCCAAAAGCTGAAAATCTGTCCTGCAGGTCTCTCTCATCAACTCTGTAGCCATCTCCATGATAGGAAATAAGTAGTAGGAATAAAGAGACATTTCTTGACTGAAGGAGTGCTCACAGTCAGCCTGCAGCCAGCCGTGGCATTGTAAGCATTCCTTGCTTCTGTGCATCTTCCCTGTTCAAATCCTACTACAACAGAGTCAGTTCTGAAATCAAATTCCTAAGGCAGAAATCATCTAGAATCAAAATACCCTTCAAAATTCCTTCCTTTATTGGGGCTTGCACCATTTTAGAAGCAGAAGCTGAGAATTAACATCTTCTGCTTGTCTTTGTACCTCAACTTCACCCCCACCCACCCCCAACCTTTCCAAGGAGCAATGGAAAGAGGTACAGGGTAGGAGTTGGGTGTCAGCGAGAACAAGGATATAATAGGACACATGTCTCTCGCACCTCTCTTGTCTGAGCCTGCTTCTCCAGGGGTGTCAAGGAATTGCCTTCCTCACGGGACCCTTTACCCCAGTCAGGCCAGTCAAGCTCTGGTCTCAGGAGCAGTGCTGCTCCTGATCTGAACTGCCCTCCTCAGCCTGTCCAGCCATCCTCAGAGGAACCTTTGTGACCTTGTACCTTCTCTGTGTTCTCTGCATTGAAATCCTGAGACCTGAGAGCTTATGTCACACCTTTTCTAGTTGATTGCTGGCAGGTGGCATTGTGTCCTAATTATGAGTCTTTTTCCAACTTGGCTATGAACACTCTGAGGGCAGGACCATGTCCTTGCTATGTTCAGCACATAGGAGGTACTCTGGAAGTAGCTACTTACAGAGGAGAAGGAAAAAAGACAAGACAAAAAAACCCAACTCAAGTAGAAACAGCCATTTTAGGTCTCAAGATTTAAATGTCTCAGTGGGTTTTGTAATACTACTGTGAAACCTTGGTTAAAATTAATTATGTCTAGTTAATTGTGATTTTTTTTTGTAAGGACCCAAATTTTAAGTGGCAAAAACAAACGTTTCTAGGGATTTAGTAAAACAAACTAAAATAAAATCCTTCCTGGGTAAATAACTAGAGTGCAGTGCAGGTTCATATCTATCTCCAGCACCTTGTTCAGTGTTGTCGTGAGAGCGTTGGTTTATAAAATGGTAACTGAAAAACCAAAGGAAAATTAAATCATCTTCACTATATTGTATTTCCCAAGGCAGGAAAGTGTGCAATTATATTTTAAAGATGCTTGAATAAGCATACATTCCAAAATAATCTTCTGAATAATTTATTCTTAGGTAACCAAAAACTACAAACGATCCCTTTTCTGTGTAAAATATCAGTCCTTCATTCTGTGTGTATGTATTCATCTGTCAAACATTAAATGAACACCTGTTATAAGCCACATTGTGGTAGGTATATATGACATTTAGAATCGGGGTATATGAAATAACCATTTGGCACAAATAATTGTCTAGTTAATAAAACTTGTTTTCTGGTCTTTCTTAGACTGATATGAAAACCAAAGGAAGTTTGCTGTGGGTTTTAGACCACACTAAAACTTCATTTGGGAGACGGAAGTTAAAGAAGTGGGTGACACAGCCACTCCTTAAATTAAGGTAAAGGGAATCCTTTTTGGGGTGTTTAATCTGAAATTATAAAATTGTGAAGTGAAAGGCATCTCTTAAAACCAAGGTTACCATTATTTCTAAGAACACAGTTTTAAATTGGGTAACATTTTGTTTTATAACTGAGCAATAGACTGGCTGTCTAGTATTACAGGGATTTTTTTCCCCATTCTCATGAATGAGTCTGCTTGCAGATTGGCAGACATAGGGCATTGTCCAAGGATAGTGAGGAGAGATGCGTTTTGTGGAGGACTTTGAAGGCTAGGCTGAGGAGTTGATAGCCAGAGGGAGTTCATTCAGTGATTCTGAGCATGGGGCTGATATGATCAGAGCTGGGCTTATGTGCAGGAGGGGACTGAGTGGTAGTGGTGGTGGGGTCAAGTTAGCAAGTTCAGGGAGAGATGCCGAGAACCTGAGCTACAGCAGTAACAGCAAGGAGTCCAAAAGAGGGGTTAGGTATGAAATGCTTAGAAGAGTAAAGTGAGTAAACTTGGAGCTCCCTAAGGGAAGATACTTGAATCCAGTGCCTAACATACAGTGATTTCCAAGGTTGTCTGCATGTTGGAATCACCTGGGATGCGTCACAAAATACTGATGCCTGTGTCCAGCCCCCATAGATTGTGATTTAACTGGTCTCCAGCATGACCAGGGAGTTGAGATTTAAATTTTACCCAGATGATTCTGATATGCAGATAAATGTGGAGATTCTGACCTAGAACAGTGCCTGGCACTTAGTAGTTTATGTTTATGTTATGTTTATTGAATGAAAACTGTTATTTATTGCACACTTTCTATTTACTGGTGTTTAATACTGAAAATCACCTTCTGAGATAGGTCCTTGAAATGAGGAAACAGATTCAGAGAGCTTCACTAACTTGCTCAGTGTTTCACAGCTGATAGAGATAAGTATCAGATTTAAAACCAGCATTGACTCCAGAGACCTTAGCAGGAACAAGCCATTATCCTGAATAGTTACACCTCTGGCTAGACCAGAGTGAATATGGTGTGGTGGTGAAGAGAACTGCTATGCGTTAGCTCTGTCAGCTGAGTGAGTCACTCCCACTAATCCTCAGTGTTCTCACCTTTGACATGGTGGAACACCTCATCAGAGCATTGCTGTAAGGAATAAAGTTTTGAGCTCTTTATCTCACGCCACACAGTACGCTAGGAGCTTTATGAGCATTGTCTCTTTTAAACTGCACAGCAGCCTCACTACACAGATGCTGTTAGTAGCCCCATGTTACTCTGTGATTAATAAATAGTCACTATCTTCAAGAAAGGATTGCAGATGTTAATGTTGGTCGTAGGCTTGAAGACCCTGTTTCGGGTTTTGCTGCTGTTTTCTTCTTTTTCTTTTGCAAGTTGTTTTACTTACAATGTCAACTTTAAAAGGTCACTAAAGTTAACTGAACAATAATCTAGGCAGACATCACTTTACAAAAAAAGAGGGAAAGCTCAAAATGCCCCTTTCTATAGAGAACCCACAGTACAGTTTTATTCAGGGCAAAGAAAAAAGAAACTTGATCATACTATGAGAAACTCAGCCATAGGTTTGGAATCTGTACTCACACCACACATTCACTGAGGATAATATTCTGCTCACATGATTGATTTGCTGCTGTGTTTCTCTGCTCTTTGTCTGATATTAACAATTGTAAACAGAGCAGGGCAGCTAGTATTTGGAATAATCCTTACAGTGTGATGACATCAAGGACATTTCACTTCTGTTCATACCACTGGTTCTCTTGGTGTACGTGGGTTTCCTCTTCTTCAGTAAAGTCATTTTTGATATTGGAAGTCTTGCAAATCTTCTCAGGACTTTTCTCCTTGATCATATTGGCAACAGTCTTGCCTGTAACATCAAGCAAACCTTTGATGTCTAAGTAGTTTGCAGGCAGAAGAAGTACAGAAAGTATTCCTTGATCGACTTTCAGGAATTCTTGGTCCTAAGGAGGGATCTCCTCTGTTCGTTTTCTTTGTTCGCATCATCCTTGGGAGGAGGAGGTCCATTTTTGTGGTGGGTGTACCACCAAATGACCTTTTAAAAATATTGCTACATTGACATTTGGTAGAGGAGCTGCGTCATTATCTGCATCATCCATTCTCAAGTCTTCCAACATGGTCTTGATAGTCACAGATTGTTTGGCAATTTCCACATCAAATATCTCCCCATCAGAACTCAGCACCTTAATTGACGGCATGGTGTTTGAGCTTGAGGAGACCACTGGCCAGAGGCTTATGAGAGCAGAGCAGCGTCAGCAAAGAAGAGGAAGGCAGAGGACAAGGACACTCAAGACACTGTTTGGATGACAATAATTACCAAATCTTTTCAGATTTAGTGGGTCACTCCGATTTCTTAGCCGTAAAGACCTTAAGACATAGGAAACTGGTGAGATAAAGAAGAAATCCTGAAAATGGAAATATTTCCTTTAGTTCAGCATTCTAATGAAATAAGCAGACCTCGGAGAGCAAACGCAGATAAGATGGCTTTCTGTGGACAACAGTGTAAGGGATGCAGCATTGTGGCTGCTGGAAAGGCTGCCTAAACATCTACTACAATTCTTACTGTGTTTTTGCTTGCTTGTTTCAGCAGAGACAGACTCACTAGCAGACTTTTCCATGTAAATTAAAATTTTTTATTTCCAATGTTAAATTTCCTTTCTTTTGTGTACCCAGGATTAATTTGAGATAAATCCACTAGACCATGTTGTCTGTTGTTAAGGGCCGAATCAAGTATCTCTGGGGATCCTACCTTCCCAGAAATGCAGAGAGAAAATATGCCAGGCATTCAACACTGATGTTTGCAAGTATGAACTTTTCACTGACCTAACATTGATGTTAGCCAAAAACAAACACATGAAACTTTTCTTTGCCCTTTTATTTTAGGTCATGGTTTTTAAACTTTTATCCTCCTAATCTATTAAAATCTATTTCAAAAGAATTCCAGTTTAATTTTATTGGCACTTGCAACTTATTCCAAACAAATACCTGGAGAGAATCTGCTGATTAGTCAGTGGCTCAGCTGTATAATTAGTCATGTACCACATGACAACATTTTGGTCCTTGGGGGAATTGCATATACAGAGGTGTTTTCTCTATTTAGAAATGTTTAGACACACAAACACTTACCATTGTGTTACAGTAGCCTACAGTATTTAGTAGAGTAACATGCTGTCCAGGTTTTAGCCTAGGAGCACTATACTGTACCATATAGCCTAGGTGTGCAGTGGGCTATACTATCTAATTTTATGTAACTATATGCTCTGTAATGTCCATAGAATGACAAAATTGCCTAACGATGCATTTTCCAGAATGTATCCCCATCATTTAGTGAGGAGTGATGGTGGTGGTGTTTATACTAACGTAAGTGCTTTGCTGATCACATCAGTGGCTCATCCAGACTAATATTCTGTCTCTGACATTGACAGCCAAAGGTAAGTTTAGGGTCTGGTTTTCTTCTACAGTGAGATCATAGAACAAATAATAGATGACGAGGGAATTTAGCAAAATAATGCAGATCTCCCCAGGTTTTGCAACATCCCATTGTTTGTCAGTCATCCATGAATTCTCCTAAATCCCTTAAACTCCTCTTTGTGTTTTTGTCTTGTTCTGGCTCTTAAGGGCAAACACATAGTTCATAAGTCTAGGACCAGGCATTCAAGTTTCAGACTTTCCACTGCCGTCACCTTTTATTCTATGAAATGGTCTCTTTGGTGCAAAATTTTACTAGTGACTTTTAGAAAGTAAAAATGGTTTTCACTTTATACTTATTGACTGATTCAGAGAGTTCACTTGATTATTGAGGCTAGATTTTACTGTACTGATGTCACATTCACTTTTATAAATAGGTTATTTTTTCTTATGTGTTCTCACCTGTATTTTTTTTATCAGTTCTGCTAATTTTAGGCAAGAAGATTGTTCAATGTAGTTTTTTTTTTTTTTTTTTAAGATAAATGAGTGTCACATTGGCATCCCATTATTCTTAAGGCCTTTTAAAATTAAATAGATTATATTGAATTCATTTCTTTTGAGGTTCTGTCTTTGGACTTCTTTCAGTTGATGTAGTCTTGTCAATCTTTTATTTATACACACACACACACACACACACACACACACCCCTGTATGTATGTCATTGGTTTTATCAAAAAGCCTGAAAATGCAAATTCTGCTTGTAAATATTGGTAGAGGAGAAAAAAAGAAAACCGTGAGACGAGTCTGTGTACCAGACTCATTGGTGGGATATATGGGATAAGTCTCTAAAATGTTGAGTTAAGCAAAATAATTAGTTTCCAAGGCAGATTTGTTTATCTTAGAGGTATTCCACTTTCAGTAGCATACTATATATTTTAAAAATAAAAATAAATTTAGTTTCTTTCATGAATACCTCTTCTGCCTGTACTTTACATTTTTTAATTTAAAAAATTTATGAAGTTTTATCGTTAATTGACAAATAATTGTATATATTTGCATTAGTCAGGGCTCTCTAGAGGGAGAGGACTATTAGGATAGATGTATATAAGGAGTATTGACTTACATGATCACTAGGTGAAGTCCCATCATAGGCTGTCTGCAAGCTGAGGGGCAAGGAAGCCAGTCCGAATCCCAAAACCTCAAAAGCAGGGAAGCCAACAGTGCAGCCTTCAGTTTGTCGCCAAAGGGCAGAGTCCTGGTAAACCACTGGTAGGTCCAAGAGTCCAAAAACTGAAGAACTGAGAGTCTGATGTTCAAGGGCAGGAAGAATCCAGCATGGGAGAAAGATGGAGGCTGCAAGACTCAGCCAGTCTAGTCCTTCCACGTTTCTCTGCCTGCTTTTATCCTAGCTACACTGGCAGCTGATTAGATGGTGCCCACCCAGATTGAGTGTGGGTCTGCCTCTCCTAGTCCACTAAATGTTAATCTCCTTTGGCAACACCCTCACAGATACACCCAGGAACAATACTTTGCATCCTTCAACCCAGTCAAGTTGACACTCAGTATTAACCATCACAACA